ACGCCAGCTAATTTTTTGATTTTTAGTAGGGACGGGTTTTCACCGTGTTGGCCAGGATGGTCTCAATCTCCTGACCTCGTGATCTGTCGCCTCGCCCTCCCAAAGTGCTGGGATTACAGGAGTGAGCCACTGCACCTGGCCTTTTTTTTTTTTTTTTTTTTTTTTTGAGATGTAGTTTTTTTCTTGTTGCCCAGGCTGGAGTGCAATGGCACGATCATGGCTCACCGCAACCTCCGCCTCCTGAGTTCAAGCCATTCTCCTGCCTCAGCCTCCCAAGTACCTGGGAGTACAGGCGCCCACGACCACGTCCAGCTAATTTTGTATTTTTAGTAGAGACGTGGTTTTTCCATGTTGGTCAGGCTGGTCTCAAACTCCTGACCTCAGGTGATCCGCCCGCCTCAGCCTCCCAAAGTGCTGGGATTACAGGTGTGAGCCACCGTGCCCAGCTACAGTTGGCATTTTTGAGATCATCTAGTCTCTAGTCTCTGTCTCTGTCATCCTGTGACTTTCTTTCACTCTGTTTCTCAGTTTATATGTAAGACATACTCTTATGGTCAAATATTCATGTAATCCTTAAGTATATGGAGGAAAACCCCAGAGGCTTCTCATAACCTCACTTCCCTCTTCACAGGGGTAGCCACTGTTAACAAGTATATATGCTTACAGTTCATTTTCTGTGCATCCATATCAATATAAGTACATGTATATATCAGTTTTATTTATTTCACTTAAAGCGGCTTGTATTATATGCATTGTTTTGATACCTACCTTTTTTACTAAATATGAGTTGAAGATCTTTCCATGTCAGTGCACACAAATCTACTTCAAAATTAGTCGGGCCTGGTGGTAAGGGCCTGTAATCCCAGCTACTCGGGAGGCTGAGGCAGAAGAATAGCTTGAACCTGGGAGGCGGAGGTTGTGGTGAGCCAAGATTGCGCCATTGCGCTCCAGCCTGGGCAACAAGAGTGAGTGAAACTCCATCTCAAAAAAAAAAAAGAAGGAAAATTCAGTTACAGTACCAGCTAGGTGACCATACCTTGCAGGGCTGAGGCAAGGCTCCCCAAAAAGCCATATAGTCTCTAAATCAGTGTCCAATACATGATACCGTTTCTCTGACAGAGAGGACTTACAGGTCCAGGAATCCAGGGGTAGAAATGAGAGTAGCACTACGCAATATTTGCAAAGCTTTCGCTTTCTGTTCCCATGACCTCATGCTCTGCTGGTCTACAGGTCTTAGTTCTGAAGGGAGGAATGCTTGCACCAGGTCACACAACAATGACTTCATTGAACTGGACGACAAGACAAACACCCAGCCATTGCAGGCTTTGCATGCCTCTGAGTCAACAGGTAAAGAAGGGAGGCCGGGCGCGGTGGCTCAAGCCTGTAATCCCAGCACTTTGGGAGGCCGGAGGCGGGTGGATTCACGAGGTTCAGGAAGATCGGAGACCATCCCCTGGCCTTAACATGGTGAAACACGTCCCTCTACTAAAAATAAAAACGGGCGTGGTTGGCGGGCCCGCCTGTATTGCTTCAGAGGGGGGGAATGGCGTGACCTGGGAGGCGAGCTTGGTGGCCCGAGATCGGCCGCCACTCGCACTCGCAGCCTGGGTGACACCAGCCGCCGAGACCGTCTCAAAAAAAAAAAAAAAAAAAAAAAAAAAAGAAGGGAGTCACTCGACTGCCTGGGATGACTTTTTTCCTAATTACAGAGGGTCATTGGACTTCACGATAGAGGTAAGGAAAAATATGTCTGGGATGCAGGACATCCACTGGGGCGTCCTTTAGAATTAATACACCTTCTGATTAAAGTCAGTGGACAACTACAACCCAATCCAGGCAGGACTGTGAATGGCGCAGCCCCTTCAGGAACGAAGGTTTGGGTCATCCCACCAGGCAAAAAACCACACAACCAGCTCAAGTGCTTGCTGTGGACAAGGGAATATGGAATGGGTAACAGAAGGTATTTATAAATATCAGGTATAATAAACACGTGACCAGTTGTTTAAATGAGAATGGTAGTTGCTGTGAATATTTATTTTCTTATGAATATGTTGTGTGTGTGTGTGTAAAATCTTTTCTGTCTTCTTTTATCCCCTTATATACTGTAGGATGTATTAACTTTACACTACAATACTTAAATACTTTTTTTTTTTTTTTTTTTTTGAGACAGAGTCTGGCTCTGTCGCCCAGGCTGGAGTGCAGTGGCCGGATCTCAGCTCACTGCAAGCTCCGCCTCCCGGATTTACGCCATTCTCCTGCCTCAGCCTCCCGAGTAGCTGGGACTACAGGCGCCCGCCGCCTCGCCCGGCTAGTTTTTTGTATTTTTTAGTAGAGACGGGGTTTCACCGGGTTCGCCAGGATGGTCTCGATCTCCTGACCTCGTGATCCGCCCGTCTCGGCCTCCCAAAGTGCTGGGATTACAGGCTTGAGCCACCGCGCCCGGCCTACTTAAATACTCTTAACTTTTTATCATAGTATTTAAGTTACAGGATATTAAGAAGAGTGAAAATCGCCCGAGGATTTTGCATCCTTTTCTGGGGAAAAGGTAATGCATTTTCAGTTATATTTTTTGAGACAGAGTCTCGCTCTGTTGCCCAGGCTGGAGTGCAGTGGCACCATCTCGGCTCACTGCAACCTCCACCTCCCGGGTTTAAGCAGTTCTTCTTCGTCAGCCTCCCAAGTAGCTGAGATTACAGGCACCTGCCACCACATCCGGCTAATTTTTGTGTTTTTAGTACAGAACAGGGTTTTGCCATCTTGGCCAGGTTGGTCTCGAACTCCTGCCCTCAGGTGATCCACCCACCTCGGCCTCACAAAGTGCTGCGATGACAGGCGTGAGCCACTGCGCCCAGCCACTGCATTTTCAGTTCTATGTCAGATAGTTGTATCCTGTTAGGCAGAAGTATGACTTTGTTATTATCTTTATATGGAGATTAAGTATGGTTTTAAGGGGATGCATATGGGTGCCAGGTTGACAAGAGATAGACTGGTGATTAATTTTATGTGTCAGCTTGACTAGGACATGATACCCAGTCGTTTTGTTAAACACCAATCTAAGTGTTGTTATAAAGGTACTTTTTAGATGCGATTGACATTGAAATCAGTAGACTTTGAGTAAAGCAGATTACCCTCCGTAATGTGGATGAGTTTCAACCAGTCAGAGAAGGCTTAAGCAAAGACAGGTTTCCTGAAAAAGAAGCATTTCTCAAAACTACAAGATGTTTCCAGCCTCTTGCTGTGCAAAATTAGGACTCAAGACTGCAACGTCAATTCTTACCTTCATTTCCAACCTGGTCACCTGCCCTACACATTTCAGATGTGCCAGCCCCCACAATCACTACTAAGTTTCTTAAAACAAATTTACTCTTGGCTGGGCGCGGTGGCTCACACCTGTAATCCCAGCACTTTGGGAGGCAGAGATGAATGGATCACCTGGGGTCAGGAGTTTGAGATCAGCCTGACCAACATGGAGAAACCCTGTCTCTACTAAAAATACAAAATTAGCCGGGTGTGGTGGCACACGCCTGTAATCCCAGCTACTCAGGAGGCTGAGGTAGAAGAATCACTTGAACCCAGGAGGCGGAGGTTGCAGTGATCCGAGATCGCGCTATTGCACCCCATCCTGGGCAACAGAGTGAAACTCCGTCTTAAAAAATAAATTCACACACTCTCTCTCTCCATTTTAAATATATATATAATGTCTCTTTATATAGAGATATATACATACACAGAGATATACATACACAGATATATAGATCTATATATAAATATATAGATATCTATATATAGATCTCTATCTAGAGAGATCCAATAGATCTATATGGTCTGGTTCTCTTCTGCGGACCCCTAATACAACACTCAAAAAATTAATGAGGCCGGGCGCGGTGGCTCACGCCTGTAATCCCAGCACTTTGGGAGGCCGAGGCGGGCGGATCACGAGGTCAGGAGATCGAGACCATCCTGGCTAACACAGTGAAACCCTGTCTCTACTAAAAATACAAAAAATTAGCCGGGCGTGTTGGCGGGCGCCTGTAGTCCCAGCTACTCGGGAGGCTGAGGCTGGAGAATGGCGCGAACCCGGGAGGCGGCGCTTGCAGTGAGCAGAGATCGCACCACTGCAGTCCAGCCTGGCGACAGAGCGAGACTCCGTCTCAAAAAAAAAAAAAAAAAAAAGGTTAATGAATTGTGCACCCACATACACAGTAGCTTTATTCATAATAGCCAAAGGATGGACACAGCCCACATGTCCATCAGCAGATGAATGGATAAAGAAAATGCGGTAGATACATTCAATGGAATATTATTCAGGCTTGAAGACATTGTGCCAAGTAAGTTAATCACAAATGGACAAATACTGTTTGATTCCAGTTATACAAGATAACTACAGTAATCAAACGCATAGAGATAAAAAGTAGAATGGTGGTTGCCAGGGGCTAGGTAAAGCAGGGAATGGGGAGTTAGTGTTTAATGGTTATGGAGTTACAGTTTGAGATGATATAAAAGTTCTGGAGATGGATGATGGTGCAGGCTGCACAACAGTGTGAATGTACTTAATGCCAATGAATTATACATTTAAAAGTGGTTAAAGTGGGAAATTTTATGTCATTTATATTTTACCACAAAAGGGAGAAAGATTTTTTAAAATTAACAAATTAAGAAAAAGTTGGTGGTGTCCCCTCAGAGCTGTATTCTTGGTAGTTGAATCTCTAGTTGAACTTGTCAGAAGATCTTCTGGAGGAGGCTTTCTTGGGCAACACAGTAGCTACACTGGCAACTCTACACTCATGTAGTGCTGTCTCTGTATTTTTCAGTGTGTGTTCTTTGCTTTCTTTTAAACCATGGACATATGAAGTATTATGTCAAATTATAACAAATATTAGCAGGTCATTCCTAAATAATAACAGAATGGAAACGGTAATAGTTTACATTTACTTTTCTTTAATCATAGTATCTAAAGGTACTGTATTAGTCTGGGTCCAATAATGAGACTGAAACCACACTGTAGGTTAAACAGGTAAAGTTTAATATAATGAATGAGTAAACTCTGATCAGCCAGGCATGGCGGTATGCACCTGTAGTCTCAGCTACTCAAGAGGCTCAGGCAGGAGGATTGCTTGAGGCCAGGAGTATGACACTGTAGTGTGCTATAATCATAGCACCTGTGAATAGCCACTGGACTCCAGCCTGGAAAACATAGTGAGACCCCATCTCTGAAAAAACAACAAATCTGATTAAAGTATGTCTAGAAAATATAAGGAACCTGTGGCTAAGGACAAATACTCAAAGAAGACAAACTTGAAAGGGACCCCTTCCCCAAATCTGGGTTTCAGATCTGACGGGAGCAGGTATAGGTCAGCCTACTGGATAGCTACTGTGTAGAAGTTTGATGGCTTGCCCAGGCTGGATCTGGTGTGCAGTCAAGGGGAAGGCAGGAAGGAACCCACTAGAATGCACGCAGGACATAGGTCATCAGCAAGCAGTGGCGTGAGTGCAGAGGGAATGGTGATGGGTACAGGTGAGCCAACGGCTCTACAGAGAGCGGTGGCTCGATGGGAACAGGTGAAGAATTGGGGGCGCAGGTGAGGAATTGGGCTGCTAGTGGAGTCAGGAGGGCTTTCAAGTTCCAGTTTTCATATCAAGTGAGGTGCTAGGTTATTGCTAGAATAGCCAATAGTTGCAGTGTTGCCAAGGAGGTGTGTATCCTGGTAAAGAGACAGAGGCAGAGCTCCACCCACTACCCTCAGGGGACTATTTGAAATTCCCTTCCTCCTGCAATGTCCTGCCAACATTGACTATTAAAAATGCTTAATATATTGCTCATTGCAAAGGTTAGATGCTTAGAGGAAATCTGTCCGTTGTCACAGAGCATATAGTGAAGGGTTAATTTGGAGCTGAGAAGCAGTAAGTTGATAAGTGTCATGTACTGATGCTCCCTAGACAATACCTTCTAATTTCTGCATTTCTGCATGGCTACTATTCCTCCTACAGAACGATGTTTTGATGATGTCTGAGTTCATCACTCTGCAAAAACTAAGTCATGTGACTCTTTGTATTTGAAAATGAAATTGTCTAACCTGTCATTTATTTCACATGAAATATGACACCAAAAGCAGTATGTGAAAGAAAACTTTTCATTCGTTGGTATCAGTTATTAATTAGAGCTGCCAAAATACCACCATTCTTATCTGTATATCAATTTCTGCTTATCAAAACACTGCTTACAATAAATTTGGTGACATCTGGCAAACTGCCTGTTGCGAGTGCTATTCATCAGCCTGCACTCTGGTCATGCATTTATTTCCAAAAACTCATAAAGCTCCTGGCCAGGCCCAGTGGCTCATGCCTGTAACCCCAGGGCTTTGGGAGGCCAAGGCAAGAGGATTGCTTGAGCCCAGGAGTTCAAAACCAGCCTGGGCAACATAGAGAGACCCTTGTCTCTACAAAAACAAATCTAAAAAAAATTTGCCAGGCATGGTGGTACATGCCTGTGAGCACAGCTACTTGGGAGGCTGAGGCAGGAGGACTGCTTGAGCCCAGGAGGTGGAGGCTGCAGTGAGCCATGATGGTGCCAATGCACTCCAGCCTGGGCAACAGAGCGACACCCTGTCTCAGAAAGAAACTATCTTGACTTAGAAACATATCTATGCTTAAAATTTTCTAAACACACTGCAGAGCTTCTCAAACAGAGCACTTAATGTGTGCTCAATAAAGTATACAATCTTCACACAGGTGAAAGCCAGAGGATGCAGCATCAGCCCTTCCTGCGCTTTGTGGCAGAGTCACATCAGTCACATAGACCTGCCTAGCGCTCCGCCCCGGAAATATTCTTCAACTCAACAAAGACCATAGATAAAGCATGTACTTTCTGAACTCCAAATCCATACACAAGGGTGAGTAAACTTATGAAGACAAAGAGCCTGAATGTTACCTGGTCCTGCTCTGGAAATCTTGGACACACGGTTAGCACCCATGAGAAACCCGAGAAAGACAAACCTCTAAATCCAGGGCCAGTTTGGTCTCACAAAGGCTGAGATCCCCAGATTTCCCTATGCCTGCCTACCCACCCCAGGAGAAACTGAATTGGAAGTGTGTGATTTCTACAAAACAGCTGCTAAGCCATCCAACTTCATCATCCTCATCCCTCCCAGCTCACCTTTTTTTAATTTTTATTATTTATTTTTTTTTAAAAAACGGAGATGGTGTTGCCCTCTGTTACCTACCCAGACTGGTCGTCTTGAACTCCTGCCCTCAAATTATCCTCCCGCCTCGGTCTCCCAAGTCGCTAGGATTACAGTTCCGGCCTGTGTGTCTACAAAAGGTGGGCCCAGCCCTAGCCCACCTTTTCACACATACCCATTAGTTCTCGAATAGGTGAGAACCTCCGCTCAGGTGGCTACGGAGGGCGCGGGCGGCTTTCTTAATAACGTTTGCTCGCCCTGGACGGACCTTAGGTTCTCTCTCTGTCCCCTACCCTGACAGCAGAGTCAGAACCGCCCGCGGAGTTCACTCCGGCAGCTCCCAGGCCGGCGCAGCGCGGCGGAAACCTTGGCTTGCCAGGTCCCGCCTCTGCGCCCCCGCGCCCCGCGCCCCGCCCCAGGCGCCCGCGCCCGGCGCCCGGCCGCCGCGCCGCCGCCCGCGCCCGCCCCCGGCCCGCCCGCCCCCGCCCGCCTTCTGCCGCGCCGCCCCGCCCGCGTGGGGCAGAGCAGACCCAGGCCCTTGACCGCCCCGCGTCATGGCCGCGCCCGCCCCGGTCACGCGGCAGGTTAGCGGCGGCACCGTCCCGGTCCCGGCCCCAAGCGGCCCCGACCGTGGGCAGCCCCTGGCGGCCGCCGTGGCCGAGCTGCCAGTGCTGGACGCCCGCGGGCAGCGGGTACCTTTCGGCGCGCTGTTCCGGGAGCGCCGCGCCGTGGTGGTGTTCGTGCGGGTGAGCGGGTGGCTTGGCTGGGAGGGAGGCGCGGCCCGGGGTCCCGGGCAGGCTGCGGGATGCGAGCTGCGCCTCCTGCTTCTTAGGACGGAAACGGGAAGGCAGCCTCCCCAGCTGCGGCCGCTTCCCAACTAGGGCGGGGCAGGACGAGGGCGAGGCCCGTTTCCCACGCGCCGGGCGTCCGGGCAGCCTGTCCCGGCCCCGCGGGCGCCGCCTGTGGTCGCGTCACGCACAGCGAAGTACCGGGCTCTTTCGGGGCGCGAGGGTGCTGCGTTACTAACTTGCCCTTTCTGCCCAATTGGCTTTCAGCATTTCCTGTGTTACATCTGCAAGGAATACGTAGAGGATCTGGCCAAAATCCCCAAGAGTTTCTTACGAGTGAGTTTCTGAGCGTGGGCGGCCCAGTGCAGGCTTCTGCAGACCTTGCGAGCGGGGCGGGGGAGGACGCGGCTCCAGCGCGCACTTGCAACCCGGATTGCCCCTCCCCGCACCTCTCTCCACCCTCGCCCCTCCAAAGGAAGAGACGTCAGAGATCTATTTCTGCCCTAACTCACTGGGTGCTGCCTGGTGGTGAACGTACTAACAATTGTGGTGTTGCCTGGTAACCTAGCGCCCGTTCTCAGATGTTGACTGATAATGCCCTAAAACAAATGCTGGAAATGGTTGATATTTTCTTCCCTTTGATTTTGTTGCACTCCAAATAGCTGCTCATTATGGGAAAATACTAATATATCGTAAAGGTGCAAATGTTTATGTTAATAGGCTGCAGGTTCCCTGTTCCCTAGCACAGCCACATACTTGTTTTTCTTCAGGCACAGGTAAGTTTGTGCCCAAGTGAGCTTTTTGAGGGAAGGCGTTGGGCAGCCTTTGTAAAACAGATGTTTTTTCAGCAGGCCTTATCAATTAGGATGTGAAAAAATAACTGATTAAATAACTGTGCCTAGTTTTAAAAGTATGTCTTTGGGGAGAATATAGAGAATTATTGACTATATCATTTCGAAAACAATGTTTTGACTGTTCGTCTGCGTATCCTTTTATTCTCTTTTTAAAAATTGACATATACAATTGTATATGTTTATGGGATGCAGTGTAATATTTTGATAGGCATTTACTTTTGTGGAATGATTAAATTGAGATAATATACCCATCATGTCAGATAGTGATTTTAGTTATTTTTTTTGTGATGGCAACGTGTAAAAACTAGTCTTTAAGCAATTTTGAAGTATACATTATTAACTAGTCACCATGCTGTGCAGCAGATCTCTAAAAGTTATTCCTCTTGTTTAACTGAAACTTGGTACCCTTGGATCATCTCCCTTCTCCTCATCCCTGAGTAACCAGTCTCTGGTAACCATCATTCCACTCTACTTTTTTCGTTTCCATAGCTAAGTGAGATCATGCGGTATTTTTCTTCCTGTGCCTGGCTTATTTCACTTACATGATGTCCTCCAGGTGCATCCACTGTTGTCACAAATAACAGAAAAATGTCTTTTTTATGACTAAATAATATTACATTGTGATACCGCATTTTCTTTTTCTTCTTTTTTTTTTTTTTTTGAGACGGAGTTTTCGCTCTTGTCACCGAGGCTGGAGTGCAATGGCGCGATCTCGGCTCACTGCAACCTCCGCCTCCTGGGTTCAAGCGATTCTCCTGCCTCAGCCTCCCGAGTAACTGGGATTACAGGCATGCGCCTCCATGCCCCGCTAATTTTGTATTTTTAGTAGAGATGGGGTTTCTCCATGTCAGTCAAACTGGTCTCGAACTCCTGACCCATCCACCCGCCTGGGCCTGCCAAAGTGCTCGGATTACAGGCGTGAGTCACTGCGCCCAGCCTATACCGCATTTTCTTTATATTTATCCATTGTTGAACACTGAGGTTGCTTCTGTATCTTGGCTATTGTGAATCATGCTGTAATAAAACATGGGAGTGGAGATATCTCTTCAACATACTGATTTCATTTCCTTTGGATAAATGCCCAGTAGTGGGATTGCTGAATCATATTATAGTTTATTTTTGATTTTTTAGTAACTTCCAGACTGTTTTCCATAATGGCTGTACTAATTTACATTCCTAACAACAGCGTACAAAAGTTCCTTTTTCTCCACATCCTCACCAAACACTTATCTTGCATCTTATTGATACCCGTTTAACAAGTGTGAGGTTATATCTCATTGTACTTTGAATTTGTATTTCCCTGATGAGTAGTGATTTTGAGCATCTTTTCATATATCTCTTGGCCATTTGTATGTCTTTTGAGAGCTATTCATATCCTTTGTCCTTTTTTTTTCTTTTTTTTGAAGCGGAGTCTCACTCAGCCCCCCAGGCTGGAGAGCAGTGGCCCAATCTTGGCTTGCTGCAGCCTTCGCTTCCTAGGGTCAAGTGATTCTCCTGCCTCAGCCTCTAGAGTAGCTGGGATTACAGGCACGTGCCACCACACCCAGCTAATTTTTGTATTTTTAGTAGAGACAGGGTTTCGCCATGTTGGTCAGGCTGGTCTCGATCTCCTGACCTCAGGTGATCCACCTGCCTTGACCTCCCAAAGTGCTGGGATTACAGGCGTGAGCCACCATGCTCAGCCCTTTGTTCATTTTTTAATCAGGCTATGTTGTTTTCTTGCAAAATTGTTTGAGTTTCTTCTACACTTTGGAAATTTGCCCCTTATCAGATGTTGAGTTTGCAGATATTCTCTCTCAATCTGTGAGTTGTCTCTTCTCTGTTGATTATTTCCTTGGCTGTGCAGAAGCTTTTTAGTTTGATATAGTCCCATTTGTCAATTTTTGCTTTTTGTTTTCTGTATTTTTGAGGTCATATTCTAGAAGTGATTGTTTATACCCATGTCATGTGGCAGTTTTGTAGTTTTCTTCTAGTAGTTTTATAGTTTTAGGTCTTACATGTAAGTCTTGAAATTCCTACTTAGCAAAAGAAACATCTGAATTAATATTTTACCATACGTATCTTTGCATTAACTCACACAATTTTGCTGTTTATTCCATTCCTCTAGAAGCCTATAGGTGGCATTAGAACGAAACAGAAGAGTTGAGTTAAGGGATGTTGTATAAAACGTGCATAATTTCTAATGATATATACATGTCATTTTTTTCCTCCTAAGGAAGCAAATGTCACCCTTATAGTGATTGGACAGTCATCCTACCATCATATTGAGGTAAATATCTAGTACATTGGGAGACTAAAGAATAAAATCTTTTTCCGACATAAAAATTACATTATTTAAACCACTAAATGTAGGCTAAATTGGCTGAAGTTAGAGTATCGTTACTTTTCTCTCATTTGTTCTTATAAAAATTCCAACCATTCTCTCTTTTCAGCCTTTTTGCAGACTGACTGGATATTCTCATGAAATCTATGTCGATCCTGAGAGAGAAATTTATAAAAGATTGGGAATGAAAAGAGGTGAAGAAATTGCCTCCTCAGGTAAGACATAACGTGTCTCAAATAGAAAACACTGGTGGTGTATTTTCATATTTGTGTATATATGCATAGGGAAACATGGTCAATTCATAAATCAGGCCTTTTTTTTTTTTTAAAGATGGAGTCTCTCTCTGTTGCCCGGGTTGGAGTGCAGTGGCGCAATCTCGGCTCACTGCAACCTCCACCTCCCGGGTTCAAATGATTCTCCTGCCTCGGCCTTCTGAGTAGCTGGGATTACAGGCGCCTGCCAGTATGCCTAGCTAATTTTTTGTATTTTTAGTAGAGACAGGGTTTCACCATATTTGCCAGGCTGGTCTCGATCTCCTGACCTGCCTCGGCCTCCCAAAGTGCCGGGATTACAGGCGTGAGCCACTAAGCCCAGCCTCGGGCTGCTTTTTATTATTCTAATAAGTGGTCCAGATACACCAGGCTCCAGAAGATTCATTTTCTGGGTGTAATGACATGGAAGGCTGTTAGCAAAGCACTGTTCAATGGAAATAAGCTGCAGAAGTGTTTTCAATGTGGTTCCATTTTTGTGAAAACAGAAATGATTTTCATAAAGATCGTGCACGTGTACACTTCATTATATGCTCTATTATTGCATTTAAGGGGACCAGAGAGTATAGTTAGTTGAAGAGTTTCATGTTTATTCATCCTTACATTATCTGTGTTCTCTGCCCTTGCCACAGTTCCTTGTAATTAATAGAGCTTAGAAAACTTGAGTTGCACTGTTTATGTGTGTTTCTGAAATGCCAGATAAGAGAACTTGAGTTGCACTGGTTATGTGTGTTTCTGAAATGCCAGATAAGAGAACTCAACTCAAACAGAAATCAATCATTTTGAATAAATATTATTGACGTCTTGTCTGATACCCACTGTGTGGGATGCTCCCAGGAGGACAGTGGTAAAATACATAGTCCCCACCATGCAGACTCATCATCTACTCTGGGAGAGAGACACAAACAGCTAATCACAATGCCATCTAAGGGCCAGTGATGGAGGGAGGCATTCCTGACTTGAAATACCTTTGTCAGCAATTTAAGTGGAGAAGGATCTGGGCGGGCTTCTCAGAGGAGATGGTCTCAGCTCACTGTAAAAGGAGTTAGCTGGGTGAAGTGAGGGTGGGGAAGGGCACTCTAGACAGAAAGTAGCACGTGCAAAAGCACAAAGGCATGAGAAAACGTGACTCCTTCAGAAAAATACAGGTCCCTCCCTCTGGCCAGAGTGTAAGACCCAGCTAGGGGAATTGGTGTGAGCCAAGGGATAAGTTATAGCCAGTTTATGTTGAACCTGGGGTAATGTGCCAAGGAGTTTGGATTTATTCTGAAGCAGCTGGGGAATTAATTATACAAGTGTTTGAAGCAGAGAAGTGAGACAGTCATATAACCCATGTGGAGCAGGGATTAGTGCTGGCCAAACTAGAGCCAGTGATATTCGTGACAGAGTTGTAGGGTAGATATAAGCTAGAAAGAAATGGCAAGGCCTCAAGAGGGGATAGAGAGGAGGAGATGGGTCTGGGAGCTGTTTGTGAGGCAAAGGTGCATGATACCTTTATTGATGTTTTTTGTTTGTTTTTTTTGTTGTTTTTTTGTTTTATGAGACAGAGTTTCACTCTTATTGCCCAGGCTGGAGTGCAATGGTACGATCTCGGCTCACTGCAACGTCTGCCTCCCGGGTTCAAGCGATTCTCCTGCGCCAGCCTCTTGAGTACCTGGGATTACAGGCATGCTCCACCATGCCCTACTAATTTTGTATTTTTAGTAGAGATGGGGTTTCTCCATGTTGGTCAGGCTGGTCTCAAACTCTCGACCGCAGGTGATCCACCCCCCTCGGCCTCCCAAAGTGCTGGGGTTACAGGCATGAACCACCGCG